TTATAGTATAGATAGATGATTATTATTATTATTATTATTATTATTTTTTTTTTTTGCGTAGGAGAGGGAAATGCTTTATGCACTGGCCGGGGGCGCTAGTCTCTATACTACCTTCCCCGAGTGTGTGACTCCCACCGAAGCGTGTTGTTGCAATTCTGCATGTCTTCAGATGCGGGAGCGCGCTGTTAGAGCCTTGGGGCTGCTCTTTTGTAGGGGCGTTTCATTCGGGTGTCCTCAGTAGACAACCGTCCTCTCGTTTGCAGCGGAGTACGAATTTCACGTATCTCGCAACTGCTTCCCACTTTTCTGCGCTGGAGATCCGTGTCTTTCTTCCAGCATTCTGCGCGAAATCGAGAAGTGTTCGCAGGTGAAGAATGTGTGTTACACGTTATCTTCGACGTTTACACAGTAATGACAGAACGGTGAGTCCACCCTTCCCATTCTATGAAGATATTCTCGGAAGTAACCATGACCGGTGAGGAATTGCGTCAGGTAGAAATCGACTTCCCCATGTGGTCTGTTCAGCCATGTTTGAAGGTCGGCTATCAGGGAGTGCGTCCATCGACGTTTTGTGCTCGCGTTCCAGTTTTGTTGCCACTGCTGGATCAGTTGCTCGCGCGCCCTTGCCGCGGCAGCTGCTCGACCTATCTCGGCACTGAGATTGTAAATCTCTTTTCGCTCGTAAGCAAGTAGCTCAATTGGCATGACGCCAGAAATAACTAGAACCGCGTCCGCGGACACTGTACGGTATGCAGAAGCAATGCGTAGTGCCCCTCTGCGCTGTACCGAAGACATTTAAATCCGGTATTTTTTGACTTTCAATGCGTCAGCCCATATTTCTGCCCCGTACAGGAGCACCGATAGGTCCGCTGTCATCAGAAGCTTCCTGCGGCATGGCTTCGGGCCGCCCACGTTCGCCATCAGCCGGCTTAGAGCTGCCGTGCTCTGCGCAGCTTTTTCACATTATTATTATTATTATTATTATTATTATTATTATTATTATTATTAT